TCACCCAGTCCATTCCAGTTTTACAGATGATGAATTGAGGCCCAGAAAGCGTGGTGGGTTTTAAGGAGAATAAATGTGGAGACTTGAACTCAGGCCTCCTGTCTGTTGTGAGTGTCTACTTAAAGCTCCCCTGAGCATATCTGAGTGTTGGTGTCTAGAGGAGCTAGGCAGCCAAGGGAGCTGGCCCATGTTTGTGTCTGTGTGTGCCAGGATGCATATGTGACATACCCCTCTGCACACACCAGGATCTCTGTGTCCGTCTGTGTGTCCCTCTATGGGTTCTCCTGTGTGCAGGAACCTGGGGGCATGGTCAGAGAAGGTCAGGTCTATTCCTACAATTCTGGGAGGCCTTCCCAGGCTGAGTAGGGATGGTGGGTCCTGAGGGGTAGGGTGAGGAATGGGAACTTTGCTCCCAGTGGAGACGGCGAGAGCGGAAGGCAGACTGGAGCCCTGGATGAGAAGGGTCCTGGGGCTGGCCTGGGGCAGGGAGACAAAGCCAAGATGGGATATGGGTCCCTGGAAGCTGAGTCATGCTCTCAGCACTTGTGCGGGCCCAGCCCTCTGGTCACCCCCGTGGGTAACCCCAGGGGAAGTAGTCACATGATGTGGCACTTCTCAGCTGATTGCTTGAGATCCCCCAGTGTGCTCTGGGCCTTGTCCTTGAGTGAGCCAAGGTCCAAGCCAGGGAGGCTGGCCAGCTGCCCAAGGACTGAGGCCCTCTCCTCCTCCTCCTCTGTGTCCTCCTCAATCATCTTGGCCAGCTCCCGGGGCAGCTCCACATCTCCACCTGCCATCTGGATCTGGCTCTCATCTGTTTCGTTCTGAAGGGAAGAGGGAAAGGGGTGCGGTGGGCTTGGAGGTCTGTGGGGACTCAGAGTTGAGGGGCAAGGAGGAGCCTGGACTGCGTTCCAGGCCCCAAGATTCTGGAACTCCAGGTTCCAGTGAACTCAGCCCCCCTTCTCCATGCCGGGATCAAGCTTTTGACGCTTAGATATAGAGACCTTGCCCTTTCACACCACCTTACTTCACCCTGAGATACTGAAAGTAAGACACTAGCGCAGTGAGTAATGACAACATAAAAATACTTCGGAGTCAGACTGAGTCAGCTAAGTTGTGTGTTGACTGTCATTAACTACACTGAAGAATGTTACCCATCACAGTGATGGATTCCATTCATCCAACACCTATCACATGGGTGACACTGAGCTGAGTGCTTTTAATGCTCACAACCACCCTGTGAGGTAGGTATTATTTTCTCCATTTTACAAATAAGGAAATTGAGACTCAGATAACTTCAGTAATTTCCCCAAAGTCACACCTCTAGGAAGTGGGGGAGCTAAATGTAAACCTATGTCCCTCATTCCAACATCTGTGTCCTCTTTGCACAGCACCTACCTACTGATGGTCATTGCACTTCCCCGTCCCTTTGGGGGCTCTTTGGCTTTCCACTTTATGTCCTACTCGGTTACAGCCAAGTCTTCTCTCTCCTAGAGGACCCAGAGTTCTCTGATGGCAGAGTTGTGTCTCTTATATGCTTAGTGCAAGCATTTGAAGAATGATCCATTCCTAGCTGAGTCTGACTCTCCCTTTGAGAGATTTTGAAAAGACTAATGCCCTGTGGGAAATCAGAGGCAGCCAGGGGCTCAATAAACATGTATGGAATGAGTGAATATGATGTCCACATATCTGATCCTCCAATTCAAGTGGAAGATCAAGTTCAGGTGTACTGTGGCCTGTGCTTCCCTTTCTCCTCAGAGTCTAGCTTCTGGGCAGGGGGAGTGGCTTGTGCCTCAGTTCCCTCCTTAGGCAACAGGAGCAGAACTCTTACATGGTCATCTGATGCTGCAGAGCCTAGAGGAGACATCCTCCTAGCTACTTGGGCAGTCAAGGGGGACTTTACTCTCTGCAGACAGACTTCATACTTTGGAAGGCAACCAGGGGTCTGGGAGCAAGTGCAGGCTCAGCAGGTACAGGCTTGATCTCTTTTCCCACTCCTGTCCCTCTCTGGCTGTGTATGACCATAGCCAAGTCCCTTAATCTCTCTGAGCCTCAGTTTCTTTATCTGTAGATGTGGGTAGTAGATACCTGGCAGAATTACTGAACGGTTAGGTAAGGGCATGAAGATCAAGCACACAGAAAGTGCTGCCTTCTCTCTGTCCACCTCCCTCCCTGGGTGTTCAGAAGCGCCAAGAGATTTTACCCCTGAGATAGAATCTACTGCCTTCCAACTCTTCATCTGCCTAGCCCTGACTCTGCGTTGGGTGAGTCAGGGTTGGAGGAGAGAAGGGGCCTGGATTGACTCCAGAAACACAAATCCATCTGCTAGGCTACCTCTCAGCGTCAAGCCCTGGCCCTTGGCAGGCACTAATTAACCGCGAATGAATGAAGGAGTGAGAGAATCGTTAACTTAATCAAACACTCCCTGAGAGTTGCAGCGCCAGCAGTAGGGCAAAGGGGTCCGGAGCCCACAGCTCATGGTCCCGGATGTGTCTTGCAGCCCAGGGTCCTAAGCTTACCTTGGGCAGCCGGTATTTGTCTCGGAAGTGGCTCCGCAGCGTGGCCCGCTCTGCCTTCCTCTGTGTGAACTGCGCGTCCCGCTCCATCCTGTGGGGGCACCGGGGGCGGAATCACCGCCGGGGCTGAGAAAATGGGCGGGGCCTGCGAGGAAGGGGCGGGAAGGGTCTCTCTGTCCTAGCCGAAGTTTACTTGGCTCCCGCCCCCGCCGGCCGCGGGCCGGTATGTTGGGTGCTCTGACCGGCCAAGATTAATCTTCGCCGCCTTTCCCGGGTATCACAGTGCCCTTTATTGCCTCGGCACACGTCGCCCGACGCAGCTATCGGGGCACGTCTGTCTGGCTCTCCGGACCCTGACATGGGTGGCCTCTGACTCGGTCTGTCTTTTCTTTTTCTGACAGGTTGTGTCAGTGTGGGAAAAAGTATTTGGAACAGACACGGGTTCGCATCCTGGCTCCACCACCACTTTTTGTCTTTGAGTAAATCATTTACTTTCCTGTTTTGTAAAATGAGGATAAGATTTTGCCGCTCACAAAACTGTTATCGTGATTAAGTGAAATAATAGCTAACATCTAATGGTTTGCCATGTGCCAGGTGTCTTGCTAAGCGGTTTATGTGCATTAAGTATTAACCCTTATAAACATACGGCATGTTTTATCACCACCCACATTTTACAGAAGAAGAAACTGAGGCACAGAAAGGCTAAGTAACTTGCCTAGGGTCACCCAGCAAAAAAGAAGCGAAGCCAGGATCTGACCCAAGCAGCCTGGTCTGGAGTTGAGCCCCTAACTGCACTCCAGGTACCTCTCTGTCCCAGCATTGTCCTCACACAAGAGTGCCCTCATCTCAGGATCTGTCTCTATAACTGATTCTCCCTCAGCTGCAGCGCTTTTCTCGGAGCCTCAGGCTCAGAAGAGCTCCAGTTGGAAGACACAGACGGCTGAGACCAGATCGGATTAAGGGATTACTTGTCTCGTCAGAAATGCACGTGCCCCCACCTCGTCTCAGGCCCCTGTCGCCCCTGCCCCCACTCCCTCAGGGCCCGAATGTAAAAGTGGAGCGGGGTTCTAGGTTGGAGATGGGGTGGCTCTGGGGGCAGCCTAGAGGTCGCCGCCCGGCCCTTACCTCTTCTGGAAAAGTAGGGGAGGAGCTCGGGGTCTGAGACTGCCCTAAGGGTGGGCAGGGCGGCTCTTGGGGAGTGGGAAGGGCCGTTGGAGGCAGGAAGGGATGCCACTCACTTCTCTTCCACCAGTTGCTTCTGATACTCCTCATACTCCTCTCGGCTCATGCCCTGCGCTTCGGCGGCCGACTTGTCCCCGTCCCCCTTGTCCTCGCCGCCCCCCAGGCTCCCAGTGAGGTTCTTCAGCTGGCCGCCCACCATGGTCTTCACCATGAACGCCATGGTCTTCGCTGACCTGGGCACCGCGCGCCGGTTACCACGCGGCGGGCACCCAGGCACGTCCGCTCCTACTTCAGCACTAGGTCTCAGGGACAGCTCCCGCCGCAGGCAGGCGCCCCACGCTCTGCACCGCCCACCGCCCGCCCCTGCCCGGGCCCGCCTCCATAGCCCCAAACCCCTCCTCACAGGGGGCGGGGGGCATGCACGGGGCTGAGCAGACTGGACCACGTGCCCGCTCCTCACTCCCGCCTCCCCAACGTGCCTCCTTCCATGCCAAGCTCCGCTGGGCACTGCTGACAACGGATTGGGGCTGCCGTTAAGAGGGGGGAGGGTCGCTCCCCAGGGGAATGCGTTGTGCCTTTATGTGCCCCAGAACCCTGCTCCCCCTACTTCCTTCTCCCCCAAATGGCTGATAACCAGGATTTCAGCTGGGAGGTGCGAGTAGCCCTGGGCTCTACCCCAACCTTCCTCCCAACCCGCCGCCCCAGCAGCTGCCCAAAGAGCTTGACGCTGAGAAAGGGAGGGAGACCAGAGAGTGGGGAATCCCAATTATGGCTCCATGGGTTGCCTCTTAGAGTTCTTGGTCACGCGCCTGCCCTGCTGACCCCTGGAGCTACAGGGAGTAGGGAGAGAGTTGTTCATGGTGATGCTGGCTGGGCTGGACCAGGAAGGGCACTTGGAGGCACCCTTCCTTGTTCTGGGTGAATTTGGGGACAGAATTATTAAACACAGCTGTGACGCCATCTTGCACCATAGTCCTGAGTTAAGGCCTAAAACCAGGGGTATCTGGCTTTTTGGCAGTCAAGTCAGCTGTGGACCTCCTTGCCTGCTTGGGGCCCACTCCCAGTGACCATCTGGAAGAAGTTGAAGCCTTCAGAGATTAAGGTGATGCTGGAAGGTAAATGAGCATATCAAAGCATGGGGAGAGGGAAATTGCCTTTAATAAGCGTGGATGTCCCCAAAAGCTAAGGTGTGGGTAGGCGCTGGGCACCCAGAGGCAGAAGACACCGGCCAAGCCCTCTACCCCCAGGTACATGTTGACTTCCTAGTGATGAGAAGTGGACATTTCATCAGGGCTTTGAAGTAGGTCACGCCTGTATGCTGGGGGAGAAGGGCTGCCTCCGCAGAGCCCCGAGGGCCCTAGGGATTTGTGGTGTAGAACTCAGAGGAAGGCTGCATGTGGACAAATAGTCCTGAAGGCCCTTGTCCAGCTTCTGCTTGCTGCCAGGGAGAAAAGAAGGTCACTTGGGCTTCTCCCTTCTGGGTTCTTGACACCAGGCTCTTTCTATTTACTGCACCCACCGCCCTACACTCACTGGACCACAGCACCCCCTGCTCTGAGAACCTCTGTGGCAGCCTTGGTCTGCTCCATCAGTACCACACTTTCTTCCTGGCATTCAAATTCCGTCCAGGTGGCTCCAGCCTTATGACTACCATTGCACTCCTATGTAACATAAGCCTGTCATCATTTCCACCCTCATACCTTTGCTGTTCTCAGCACCTGCAGGCCACCTCCTCTCCCACTCTGCTTTTAAAACGCAGCATATTTCACTCCTCCTCCAGGACCATCACAGCCCACACTGATTCCTTTTGTCTTGAAATACCACCGACAAGGACTGCCCCATTTCTGAGCTCCTTAGCACATCTTGCATCTCTAAATGTCTTACTCGTTTACAAACATTCATCAAGCAGAAACTGTGACATGCCCCCAAACTTTTAAATTCTCTTTGCCCAGTTTCACAAACATTTTGCTCTAGCAGTACTGAACTTGCCACTTTTTCTCCAAAATATATATATATATATATACATTTTTTTTTCATGCTTCCATGTCTTTTCTCATGATGTTTCCTCTACATCAATGCTTTTACTTATCTTGTTGGGCTTGAAACACTCCTAGTTGCCTTGATGATCCATATCAAATATCCCTTCCAGGTGATTCCCTGATCTCCCCAAGCTGGCTCTAGTGCTTTTTCCAGCACTTTTTAGGCCCCTGAGCTTCCTGCTGTCATGGCACTGATCACAAAGGATGTGACTGTTAGTTACTTGTCAGTTTATCACATTAGAGAATGAATTCTGTGAGAAGACTCAGATGGGACCAGCAGCTGAGCAGGTAGTCAGCATCTCTATGGAAAAAATGGGTCCTAACTTGGGCACTGCTCCTTGCCAGCTGGTGGGCCATGTGGATCTCCCCACTGGAACCTTAGTATCCCCTCTCTCAAACTGAATCTCTATGGTCCAGACCCAAGAGATGCCAGGTAGGTGTGGGAACTCCTGCACATGGGAACACCCACCTGAAGTGTACATAGCAGAAGAAGCCTACAGTCTGGATGAGGAGGAAGAACAGGAAGATGCCAGGCTGCAGGCACAAGGAAACCCTTGGGGACCTGCCAGGTGAGCGAGGGTCCTTGGCTGCTGCTCTCTGAAAAGAGATGTTCTAAGATCTTAGATCAGCTTCTTACTCAGAAGGAGGGAGGGGACCTAGAATCTGGACCACTGTGGGGCTTTGTTTCCCTCTCTCAGTGTTGGGGTACCTTGGCTTTCATCCAGGGAACTTGGAGAGGGGACAGGGTACAAAGCTGCCTCTCCACCCCAGCTCCTATGTCCCTATTTGTGGGAACAGCCAGGAGTGCCTGGGGCCTGGGATTTTCAGGGTGCTGAAGGCTCTAGAGATAAGTGAGAGAGAGAAATACAGAGCAAAAGACAGGGTGATGGAGAGGGCAAGGAAACGAGCAAGATGGAGTAGGGCACAGGAAAGAGTGGACTTCACCACTAAGCTTTGAATGATCTTAGGCACAGACCATTCCCATTTATCTTCTGGTCATTGTGGGAGTTGGACCAAGTGATCTCCAGGGCCCTTCTGGCACTGACAGTCTGTGGAACTCTCCAGAGAGAAGAGAAGGCAGAGAGTAGATGCGATCCATGTGCCTGCATGCCCGTGTGCATGCACACACAGACACGACGGACACAGGTGTGCCTGACAGGAGTCCCAGGGGGAAGGGCAAAGGCAGGAGGGGCCTGGGGCTGTGGAAGTGCTAGAAGAAGGGGGCTGAGCCCTGTGGTCCTCGCTGCTGTTCCTCTCACCGCTGGGCCCCGCAGGTCCTTCTGCAGGAGGCTCAGGATCTGGGCCAGCTCTGAGAAATGATGCTTGGTGCCCACGGGCAGGTAGAAGACCTGGGCCCTTGAGGCCATGTGAGCAGCTGCATCCCTGGTACAGAGTGGAAACCAAGGGAGAGAACCCATTATCCCTTCTGATTGCACCCAAAGTACCTAATTATGCATTTCCCATAATCCTCAAAGGCAGCACCTGGGTGAGGAACAGGCACCACCCATAAGGCCCCTTTTGGGGACTTGTGGTCTTACCCCCCACCCAGAGCTTCTCCTTGAGACACTTTAGCTCAGAGAAGCATCTCCCTTAAGCTGTCCATCCCAACCCCAGGCTCCCTGGGCTCTGCCTTCGGTCCCCGGCCCCCAGGGATTTAAATCCTCTTCCTCCTCATGTTCCCAGCCCTGGGGTATCTAGATGTAGGGAGGAGGGCTGGGGTTGGGGTGCAGCCACAGCATACAGGCTGAAGCCCCTCTCCTCCCATGGCATCAAGGTGACCCCCTGCCCCTAGGGCTCCATGGATAACTCCAGAGGCCTGGGCCTAGAGTGGGATGCTGAGGGGCCAGAGGTGGGTAAAATGAAGTCAGGGGCTGCCCATCCCCCAACTGGGCCTGCTTTTGGTTGTGTTCCCTGTAAGAACCCCCTCAAAATGTCCCTTCCTTCTGGAAGCTATCACTGAAGGAAGGCTCAATTTTACTAACCCTCCCTGGGGTGAGACTGTCTCAGGGAGTTGTGTTTAAACCAGGAGTTTCAAAACTTTAGACTTGATTCAGTTAAATTCAGCTCAGTTCAACAAATCTAACTCTGCCCCTAGCCCCTCCCTGTTTTCCAGGCTTTGTGCTTGCTGCTCAGGAGATGATGAAAGTATTAAAGGACTGATGGGGAGTTTTCAGGCAGAGAAGCAAGTTGGTGGGTGGGGACTCCTCTTCCCTCTCCCCCAGGATCCTCCTCTCCTGGTGCCCTTACCTCATCTCTTGCAGGTTTTGCAGCAGGTTTTGCTGTCCACGGAGTAGGGCACTGACCTTGGCTGAGTCCTGCAGGAATACCAGCCTCTTCTTTAGGGCCCAGGGCCCCTCTTCTCAGAGTTCACCTTCCCCGGGGATTTGCAGCCCTCTTCCTTCTAGAGGCCTCACTCCGTTACCTGGGCCCTCATTTTGGATACACTAGGTTTATCTGACCCTTTGCATCTGGGCTTCTGATTTTCCCCTCCTCCCAAACCCTTCTCCCTGAGAAGTCCCCTTTCCCCCTCCCTCCTCATCACCCCCCCCCAACGCTGCCTTCTTGCCCAGTGACCTGGAGAGGTAGCCACCTCTCTCAGGGGTGGGTGGAGCCTGGCAGGGGGAGTCCTGGGCCTGGCAGTAGGATCAGGGAGACGTGGCCTTGGAGGACCTGGTCCCTCCCCTCTGCCCTATTCCATCAGCCCAGGCTCTGCTGCTCTGTCCTGAGGACATGATTCAAACCTCAAGCTGACAGAGCCCAGCAAAGCTCACAGGAGCCACTGGCCCCTTCTACCCGGCATCTAACATCTTGACTGAGCTCAGCTCTCAGGCCCCAGGCTGGGTCTGCCATGGGACGTGACTCCCCAGGGGAGAAGCCAGGATAGCAGTGGAGGGGAAACAAGGATTCTGGTGCATCTGAGCATTAAGCAAGCGTATGTGAATCAGATCACATGTGGAGCTACATGCAAATAAGCACCCGGTCTATTTTTGTCACTTGTCTAGAGATCCGCGTCTAAATACCTGGCAACTCCTTTCCCCAGCCCCAGCCATGGGCTCTGTGGGCCTTTGCTTGTGCCAAGCCCCCCCAACCCCCACCTCGCTCCCCCACCTGGCAGATCCACGCCACTCTGCCACCTGCAGCATTTCACCCCTGCCCTCCTTTCCCTCCAGGGCTCCCCAGGTGGCGCTACTGGTAAAGAACACGCCTGCCAATGCAAAAGACAGTAGAGATGGGAGTTCAATACCTGGGGTGGGAAGATCTAGAGAAGGGCATGGCAACCCACTCAAGTATTCTTGCCCCATGGACAGAGGAGCCTGGTGGGATACAGTCCATGGGCCACAAAGAGTTGGACACAACTGAAGCAACTAGGCACGCGTGCACACACTCCTATCTCTCCAGACCCTGGGGGAGACGAGTTCCCGGGTAGAGTGCTTGCCCCTCTTTCTGGACAGAGAGAGCTGACTGGTGCCATCAGATCAGCCTATGGAGTTTGGCTTCTCCGGGCCTGCAGGCAGACCCTTGGGTGCTCGAAGGGCCACTCACCCATCCTCCCTCAGGCCTGATCTGGCCTGGGGACCCCAGCTGCTGTTTCCATTGCTGCTCAGCCTGTGCCAAGTGCTTGGAGAGACCCTGGAGGGTCTGCAGGATCTGCCTGTGTCTTTTCAGTGTCTCCTCTAGGCCGAAGCTTTGTTCCCCTGGGGATTGGGGCAGAGCGGGGACAGGCATGCTGCTGGGGTGGGCAACAGATCCTGTCTTTTGAAGCCGCCTTGGAGGGGCAGAAACGTGTGGCTTCTGCCTCCAAGACTCTCCCCTGGAAAGATGTGTCTGGGTGGTGGGGCAGAGCCTGCTTAGATACGACCTCCTCAGGCGCCCCGCTTCCTGCTGGTTAAAGGGCTCTTGGTTTGAAGGGAAGAGGATACCATGACCCTCAATCAAGTCCCTGGCCCACCTGCCTGTTCCCTGGGTCCCTACCCTCTTCCTGGACTCCATAGTTCAGCTTTGGAGTCATGTCTTCCTTGGTGCCCAGGCCCAGCCTTGCCCGCAGCCCTTCCAGCTGCTTCTCCAGGCGGAGCTGCTCTGTCTCCAAGAAGGGCTGTGAGAGAGGCTGGAGAAAGAAGACACAAACTTAGGCCCCAAATCCAGAGGCAGGCCAGAGGACTCTTCCCACAGGGCCTCCCTCAAGCCCTGCCCCCTTCCTGACCAAACAGGCACCCTGGCATAGACTCAGTCCTCCCAGCCCTGCTGTACCTCTGCCACACTCACACACACTCTCACACACACACATTCACACACACACACACACACAAACACACACACACCTAGTTCTCCCTCAGCTCAGCCACCAGGCCCACTCCTCCCAGCCCTGCTGTGCCTCTGCCACACTCACACTCACTCACACACACATACACACACACACACACACACACTCACACACTCACAAACACACACCTAGTTCTCCCTCAGCTCAGCCACTAGGCCCAGTACTCCAAGCCCTGCTGTACTGCCGATCTTTACACCCATCTCTCCCACTGTGGCCCACACACCAGCAGCTCCCTCAGGCCTTTGTCTATGCCACTCCCCCTGTTCCTTCAAGCTCATCTTTGCCATGCCGTCTTCCTGCTCCCCTGGAGGGTTAGGACCCCTCAGTACTCCCACAGTTCCTTGAGGACAGGGCCTGGCTCTTGATCACCTCTGGCCCCCAGCACTTCCCAGCACAAGGCTTGGCCTGAGTAGAGCTCCGCAAGCAGATAGAGATAAGGGTTGGAATGACAGGTCTGACAGCTGATGTGAGCAGAGCAGCCAGGGAGGGGAGGGATCCCTGAGCTGCTTCTCCCCCAGCCCTCCCCCCAGGGAAGGCCCAGGTTCGGCATTACCTCTGGACCCGGCTCACGCAGACTGAAGGTCAGGAAGGACAGGACGTCATGGTCATCTAGAAAGCAGGGTAGCGAAGGGAAGGGAACTCACTCCCTCAGCCCTCACCCCCGGCCTTCATTATGTTCCGGGCAGGCAAGAGATCTGGGTGACTTTGAGCAGCTCTGATCCTCATCTTGCCTCTCTTCATAGGAAAGGTGTGAGGATCATATAAGCAGATGGGTGGGCTGTGAGGATTGACTCCAACAGAGAAGTAGAGGGGGACCTCCAGTGAATGGGAAAACTGGACGGTCCTGCCCTAGAGCCATGACCACAGGCCAAGCAATACCCTCAGGCCCAGAGCCTGGCTGCTACTGGCAGAAGAACCACACAGGGGCTGCCTCCTCCTCCTCGTGACTCTGACCACGTCACTCTCCTCCTTAGAAACCTGCCATGGCTCCTAGAGTCTAAAGACCGAAGTCCTGGCATTCCAGGACGCCTCCTCTGCTTGCACCCTGCTCTCCGGCTGGGTTCCTCCACAGGCTCTCCATTATACCACATCCTTTTGCTCCATTTCCTAGATGTCCCTCATGGATGACCCTCTTCCTCTTGCCCCATAGATCCCAGCTAGGGACCCTTGTGGAGCCAACACTGAAATGGAAGTGACTTGTGTTTTACGCCATTTGAGACTTTCATCAAATCTGCTAGGCAGACACGACCTTCCCCGGATGGTAACAGAGGCCCAGAGAGGGTTTGTGGCTTTGCTGGGTCCCACAGTGAGGAACTGGCTGGCCCCACCCTAGTGCTTCTTAGAAGTGGTGTTCAGTGGGCACCGCTCTTCTGCCCAGAAGGCCCTCACCTGCCAGGATGCTCGTGGCCGCAGAGACCCCAAAGAAACCTCCAGGGGCCAAAAGCAGGGGCCCCACATCGACACAGACCTCATCTGGGTCGCTGGGAGTGAGGCCGCTGTTCAAAGACACCTGAGGGACACAAAGGCCATGAGTCCCTCACAGGGGGAGCCCACTTCTCTCCCCCAGCCTCAGCAGGGGCAGAGTCCCCACCTGACTCACTGGCTCGCTGACCCGGAAGGCGGGCGGGCAGCTTGGAATCAGAGTGATGTGGAGGGGCTCACACACCTGGGCTCGTGTCAGCTCTCCCAGGCATGTGCTGGGGGCAAGTTAGGAGTCTGTGTGGAGAGCAGGGATCCCTATGGGTGTTGCCCGCGTGTGCCAGGGACCGCGTGTGCTGTCACAGCTGTGTCTGTGGGATCATGGGAATCCACCGCGCTCTGAGCCCTGTAACCTGCACTCCCTGCCCGGTGCACCCACAAAGGCAGGAGGGACGACTCACACGCAGCCTCTGCCCCCAGTAGGTGATCCGTGCTCTGAAGGGGTACGGCCGGTTCCGGAAGTCCTGGCGGCAGGAGCCCAGCACCAGGCTGCCTCCATCCCTGTGGGCACTTGGAATCCAGCCAGGCCACACAGGACCCAAGGCCTAACCAGTAGGGGTGTTCCCAGAGGCCGTGCGCCCAGGCCTGCAGTGCCACCCCCCCCCACTGCTACTGGTATAGCTTCAGCCTCCGTTGCTGTATTCTGCTCTCGCAGCAGCAGAGAGTGGAGCGGGAAAGCAAGCCTTGCCTGGCAGAATGCTGGGATTTGGAATCCACAGAAGAGGCTGAGGCCCGCCCTTGGATGCTTCCCTCGTTCTCAGCCTGAACCAACAGTGGGGTTTCTACCCACAATCCCCCAGGCCCACCACCGCCTCCTCGGTCTCCCACTGGCTTCCCTCTGAGTATGGCTTCTCTTTCCTCTCCTTTCTGCCTTGCTTGGCCCATAGCAGGACAGACAGCACGAGGCCCATCCTAGCATCCAAGGACAATGTGACCAGCTGGCCTCCCCACGGGGGTGAAGCAGCTGGTCCAAAGAGTTAGGAGTGCTGAGACACCCTGAGTGTGTCTGGGCTCTTGGACACACAGACGCTCTCAGGGCAGCGAGCCTGTCACCACCCCCTGCGGCCGAGAAGGGGAAGCACCGAGCAGGGGAGGAGTCGGCTCCAGGTCCCCAGCGTGTGTTTGCCCTCTGAGCCCCTGTGACCTTGGGCAAGTTGCCTCACCTTTCCAAACCCGAGTTCCCCCATCTTTTAAATGAGGATATTAATTGAAACTACCTCATAACATTGTTATGAGGGTTAACCAAGCCGTGAGCGTGAAGCGCTTGGCGCAGTGCCTGGCGTGTACAGTAAGCTCAGGTCGTAAATGTTAGCAATTATTCTAATTGTTATGAGCTAAGAGGGATGTTTGCTAAGAGACACTGACGAACTGGCCCAGCTACTGAGGAGGCATCCTGGCTGCGGAGGGATGGGCAGCCATGCCATTGGAGAGAAAGGGACAGGGCTGGCAGGCACGCAGGCAGCTGGTGCGGGAAAGGGCGTGGACCCTGCACCGGCAAGTCTGGCCTCAGATCTCAGTTCCGGGCACAGCTGTGTGACCTGGGGCAAATCACTTCTCCACTCTGGGCTCAACGTCTTCACCTGTAATTGGAGCCTAATAATCCCCACTTCTCAAGAGTGTCAAGATGAGATGATGGGAGTGAAAACGCTGAGCACAAGGCCTCACTCTGCGTCATTTCACTACCCCCGCTGCCCTGGGGCTGTTGGCTTCAGTGAATTGAGGACTCCAGGCCCTGGAGGAGGCATAGCTGGGACCTAGTGAGAGGGGGCCCTGGGCAGTGTCATCAGCTCAGATGAGAGGACAGCAAGCAGACCACTGCCCTGGAAGGGGGGTTATCCATCAGAGGCCAGGGCAGGGCACAGTGGGCCGTGTGGGTAACCACCAAGCTCCTCGTAGCCCAGGAATGAGGTAGGGGTCAACCCAGGCAGGCCCTTACCCAAGAGGCTCGTAGAGGGTGTGCCCATCTCTGGCCAGCACATGGATGGCAGGGCTGTTCTGTGTGGGAAGTGACAAGCAGCCTGAGACCCGGGCACAGGGCAGAGGGTGAGGGTGTGGGCGGGATGACGGGCAGGAGACCACCACTCACCTGGGGATCTTGGGCTGAGGAGTCGAAGAGGATCCCAATGCCGTTCCCCAAGTCCGGCGCCCCCAGGACAGGGCCTACCTGGCCCCTGCCCTGGGTGTACCACACGGCCTGCGGGTCCGCAGCTGCTCAGCTCAGGGGTCCCTGCAGGACGCTGGGACCCCGGGCTCATTACCAGCTCCTCTGACCCACCCCCTCTGCTGGACTTTCATGGGGACCACTTACCATGCCCTGGGCTCCCCGGCGCCCCGGCCCGGTCACCCTCATCTGTATCTCCACCTCCCAAGCAGGGAAGAGGATGGGGGTTGTACTCCACACGGCGCCACTCCGGTTCCGCATGGATGGGGCCAGCCGTACTTCCTCCAGGCCCGGGATGGCATCTGTGGGCCAGGGCAGCTCAGGGCCTGGGCCCCACCAGCCCCTGTTCCCCCATAACTCTCTCTCAGTGGTCTAGGCTGGGCTCCAGGAGGAGGAAGGAAGGAACATCACAGCCAATAGTAATAAGCTGGCTGGTCAGACAGTGGAATCCATCGAAGAAGTGGGGATTAGGTCTTTGCCAGAGGGAGGGAGGGTCAGCGAAGTCTCCAGACACACATGGAGCTCTTTACCTGCATTCTCACATAAGCCTCACTGCAAGTCTGTGCAGCTTGCTTTTATAGGGCCCCATTTTATCTTTTAATTATTTATTATACTATTTTTGGCCACTTGGCATGGGGGATCTTAGTTCCCCAACCAGGGATCGAACCCATGACCCCAGCAGTGGAAGCTTAGAGTCTTAACCACTGGACCACCAGGGAAGTCCCAAGACCCCATTTTATAGATGAGGAAGCTGAGGCTCAGAAAAATTAAGGAACTACGTGAATGGGAACCCAGCTCCCTCTGACTCAAAAGTACAAGCCATTTCCACCATGAGAGAGATTTGTGTCCAAAGGGAATGGCAACCCACTCCAGTATTCTTGCCTGGAGAATCCCATGGAGAGTAGAGCCTGGAGGGCCATAGTCCACGGGGTTTCAAAGAGTTGGACACTACTGAGCAAGTGAGCATGGGAGCATTGTGTTTATCAGAGGAGGAAAGAGGGGCCTATGAGGGAAAGGACAGGCTGGAGACCACGAACACAGGGGAGCACCCTGAGAGAAGAACCAGGCGGAGGGCCAGGACTCCAGGCTGTGGACACATGGGTATGTCCAGACACAGGCGGGCCTTCCTGGTGGGGGCACCTAGGGGGCATCTCAAGGTGGGGAAAGTATGAAAGCAGAGGTGGGAGCTGGCCATGAGGGATGGAGTGAGTGTGAGAATTACCACTGATGTGGGTGGGATGCGGGGAGAGGGAAGGAAGGAGCGAGAAACTGAGGCAGGTTTGGTAGGAAATGGAGAAGGGAGACCAGAGGCCCTGCCCCAGCTGCCTCCACTCCCTTGCGGCCTGCCAGCCTGGAACCTGGCCCAGGCCCAGACCCTGCCAGCATGTCCTGGAGACTGCTAATCCAGCCTGTTTGCTCAGCAGAGGCCAGAGCTGGGGGCAGGGAGGCTCAGAGGCTGCAAGGCCAGGAGGGCTGAAGCCCTTGGGAGCCACCACCACCACCTCTGAACTAGGATGCAGGAGGCGGAGGTTGCCCATGTCTGCCACACTTCTGCACTGGGCCTCCGGTGGATTGTTCAGGGGACCTCACTGCAGACTGCAGTCTCCTCGAAACTGACTCAGCTCTGTGTCTCTGGGTGGGGCACAGAGGACATGGGGGTGAGTCGAATAAAAGGATGAATGAGTGAATGGACACTGAGCATATCTCTGAGCGACCTTGAAGAATGTGCCTCTGCTCCCCCATAAGTCCTGGAACACCCCAGACTTGGCGTGGCCCAGAACAATGACTGTGGTCCGGGCCCTACCATCCTGGGCCTGAGGCTCTGTGCTATGGGGAACAGCCTCCTCCTTTGTTAACCTCCTGGGTCTTTGTGAGGGAGAACTGGGCCCAAAAACCCTGCTAAGAGGGCCTGTCTTCTTAAAGGGATATTTGCTCTGGTCTCAGGAATTATGCTGTTTTTCAGAAATTACACCTCATAGACACAGAAATACACAATGGATCTGCTTTCTCTCTTCGGTTTGACTGCTAGGAGGCTCTAAACCAGGTTCATGGCTCAACTCTGAAGAGTGGACAGGCTTCACAGCATATATTTTGGCAGCAAACCATGTTCTTGGACTCATTTCATGCCTCAGTCCTAACACCATGTCTCATTCTTCTGGCTCACTCCTAATTTAAATTCTTCTCAGTTGCATAGGTTCATATAAGTCCTCAAAAATCTTTTTACAACAAGACGGAGTAGAAGACAGATTCTTTGTAGGTCTGGGTTTGGAAGGCCCTGAATACAACGTATGGGCTAAGATGCTCTCATGCTTGCTTCCACCCAACAAACACACAGGACAGGGCTGGGGCCCTCTCTGGTGAAAGAGCTGGCCATGAGGATGCCTCCCTCCAGGCTGCTCCCAGGTCTCCTGGACAGCCACAACCTGACCGTGTAGAGCCAGAGTATCGGTCTGTGCTGATCCAAGCTGCCTTGTGTCTGTGAGTCCGAGTCTCAGCCTATTAGCATGTGTGTGTGTGTTCACAGGTCCATGAGGCAGGGTGGTGAAGGGTTCTCCAAAGAGAGGTGAGAAGAGGAGAGAGAAGTCCCAGGGCAGAGAAGGGGAGACGCAGAGAGAAGCTGAGGCTGATGGGTAGCGGTGGGGCTGTGGTGGTAGAACAGGAGCCAGGTTGGGGTGGGGGGTGGTCCTGGGGCCCGTGGCACTGTCTGCCCCCGGCCTGGCCCCGTCTTGGGCAGTGGCTGTACCAGCAGGCCCACTCCCCACCGAGTCACGGCCACCCAGAGCTGGTCAGCCCCTCCAGTGTTCTGCAGAACACTGGGCATGGCTAGTCCTCACCCGACATTTTACCTCCGTGATGGCTCCAGAAGGGTATTCCAACCCCAGGCAATGCCAGCCTTGGCCCTTTGAAGCTGAGCTTGTACTCAAATCTTCGCTGAGGCAGATGGCCCCCCTTGGGGCTGTGGGGGTCCAGGAATACAAGGAGGAGAAGGCAGGGCAAGGGATCCAGGCCACGGACCACCCTCATTGCGAAGGGATCTAGTATCCGGGCCCCAGGGTGGACTTGCAGCTGGGAGGATAGGGAGGGGCTCCTGGGACAGGGCCACTGGGGGAGGAGCCAGGACGGCCCAGAACCTGGGTTTTTGGCACTGTCCTCTCCCTCCCTCTCCAGCACAGACATCCTGTTCCTTCCAGGCCTGATCTCAGGCCCCGCCCCACCCCTTACCTCCAGCCTGATGAGGCAGCCTGACCTCCTGCCAACCTGAGCTCTGCCCCTGCTCCTCGGCTCAGGCCATCCTTCCTCCTTCCTTCTGTCCTAGTGGCTGCAGGACCTCAGCGGGTCACTGGGACGAGCCACCCTCAGCAGCTCTGACTTTCCTCCCTGCCTGGAATGGGCCCCCTCGTCCTGGCTCCTTCCCATGAATGGCTGTCCCTGCTGTCTGGCCCTCACCCACCCACCCCATCCTTCCCTGTCCTGCTCTCTGCTTGATTCTCAGCTCTCTCCCATATTCCCAAACACTCATGCCTCCAAGCAACCTGGTTTCCTCAACAAAGAAATTATGTGAAAATAGAAAGGGAGTCTTAAGAGAGAGCAAATAAATGCAACGCATGGGCCTTGTAAGGTGAAAAATGAGACGGGGAAATTTGAACAATGGATATTTGATTAAGGGATTCTTGTTAGAATTTTTAGGAATAATAATGGTATTGTGGTAGAATTTCTTTTTTAAGTCTTATGTCTTCTGGAGAAATATACTAAAGCTTTATGGATGAATTGATATAACATTAGGATTTGCTTCCCAATCTCCTAGAACCTGGGTGGGAGGAGGGGAACATGGTGTGCATGGCAGAGAATTGGCCTTGAGTTGATAACTGTTAAAGTTGGGTAGTAGGGACGTGAGGGTTCCTTGTATTCTAATCTCTACTTTTATATGTTTGATGATTTCCATAATGAAAAAAGTTTTTGAAAAATAAGAAATCCTGGGACTCCCCTTGGTGGTCCAGTGGTTAAGAATCCACCTAGCAATGCAGGGGTCATGGGTTCGATCTCTGGTCAGAAAACTAAGATCCCACATTCTGCAGGCAACTAAGCCCACGTGCCACAACTAGAGAAGCCTGCATCTTGCAATGAAAGATTCCACATGGTGCAACGAAGGCCTGAAGCAGCCAAATGAATTAAAAAAAAAAAAAAAAGCTTAAAAAAAAATCCTGTATCTCAAATATTTTCATCCAAATAAATTTTGGTTTTCCAGAGTGGCTCCAAGAATTCTGGATAGCTTAAGTTTTACTGTACTTTGTAAACCCCCAGTAGAATTAAGATACTGAAGCTCTACAAGTTAATTAAAACCATGGCTGCAAATGGAAAATTTTAGGACATGCTAAAAGAAGAACTTCATTTTTCTACACTGAGCCCTCAACCACCTCCACTTACTTCTCCCCCTTCCTTTTCGCAGCCGAGCTGTGGAAATGTGGGCTTCCCTTCAGCCCTGCTTCCTTGCCACCCCCTAAGTCCTTCCAGCTCCTGCCCTCCCCACCCCTGCACCCCATGAAAACTGTTCCAGCAAGGCCTGACAATGCCCATTCTCTGTGCCTAGTGGACACTGCTCAACATGGTCTCTGCAATGTGAAATGCTGTGGACACCCCTCCGTTCCCCCTGCTCTAAGAAATGCTGCCACAGGGCTCACCTGCCTCTCTGCTGTCCCTGGCCACCCCAGGAATTGCTTCTTGGTCACTCTTGTCCCTCTCTGGCCTCTCCCATCTCTCCAAAGGCTCCACATGCTACCTGGCCAAGCTCGTCTGCACCCACGGCTTCAAACACCATCTCTGTGCCCACGACCCCCAAATCTCTGCTTTTAGCCACTTTTTCTGGTCCAAACAAACATTTAACTCTGGAGGGGACCTTTCTGCTTGGATGTCACAAAGGCTCCCAGGCCACAGGTCCAAACCAAACTCTTCTCCAACCCCCAGCACATACTCCTCCAGGGCTGGGGTGTCATGGGTGGCACCACCCACCTTACCAAGCCAGAGACTGGAGTGTCCCCAGGGCCCTTCCACAGCCCCTTCCTCTCCTCAGCCATCAGCAAGCTCTTCAATTGCTCCTGCCACCCTCAAACTGTTACCTGATGCTTTAATCTCTCCAAGCCTCAGGTACCTTATCTATAAACTGGAGATAATAATAGTGTTTCTCTCCAAGAGTTGTTTGGAGGGTTAGATGAGATAATGCATCCATTAGAACAAGGACAGGCAAAACTCAGCTCAGTAAAACACCAGTTGCGTTCATCTTCCTCTCCACCTCCTACCAGGTCCCCCCACCCAGGCCTCCATCAGTCACCTCCCGCCTGGCCTGTCAGCCTTCCCACCATCTCCCTGTCCCCATGCACTCTAGCCAGACCGCAGCCAGAATCATCTCTCTAAAATGCAGACCTGGCCAAACTCTGCCCCCAATCCTTCTGTTGATCTTGGTCATGTTTGCATAAAGTTATACTCCTCATGGAGCCTGCAAAGCCAGGTGGGGTCTAGGCCCTGCTTTCTCTTTAGCCTCATTTGCTCCCAAATTGCATCCCTTGGCCCCTTAGCCCTGGCCACACTTGAGCCTCTCAACTGCCTCTCACCTCACTGCCTTTGTCCAGGCAGAGCCCTTCCTTTGGCAGCATTACCCGCCCTCTCTGTCCCCAGTGGTCCCCACTGTCTGAGAAGCTCCCTCTGTCCCTGCCTCCCTGGCCTGGGTGGCAGTGGCAACACCCACCAGATTTCTGGGTACTGAACTGAGTTCTGAGCAGGTTCCCCCAGGTCCATGAGAGCACAGTCAAAGGATGAGAGAGAAGAAAGGGGGGAAATTAAAAACTGTGAAGGGAGTGAAGTAATGAAGGACTGGGGCTCAGGCCACCAGGTGGAATATCTGTCCCCTGTGCCTGCATTCCCACAGGGCCCCAGCAGCTGGACCTTGCCCCTTCACTCTCACTTGTCACAATTCTCCATTATGTCGCCTGCTTGGCCCCTCTTGTGACCCCATGGCCATGGGCATCTTTGGAGGTTTCTGAACCTCAGCTGGCTTCTGGATCAGTTAGTGAGGGCTTATCATCAAAAGGCACCCAGATCCCTGCTTTCAGTGAAGTCAGGTTGGGAGCATGAAGCCCATCCTGGTATTGGGCACAGAGTGGATACCAGCACACTCTAGGTCGGAGCCCCTACCCCGGACCCCTGCCCTAGACCTGCTAAGCCATCTACCAGAGCGCCACTGCATGGTACCCTCTCCTCGGAGTCTCACCAGGACGGTCCCTCTCCCATCGCAGACCCACTGCCCCTCATGCTCTGGATTCCAGCTACCAACCTCACCCTTGGCAAGCTTCCGCTGGGAATCACTACCATGCCCTCCCCTCTCTACTGTCCACCTCCCTCTCAGAGTATGTGGACATGATCCTGAGGTAAATGTCCTTCCCTTCAGCAGTCAGATTTGCTTAAGCCTCTACTGCCTTAAAAATCCTTTCTTCATTACAGCTGGATTCCACCAGACTGTCTACCTTCCTGCAGTCCTTGCACCTCCTCTAGCCATTGTGATCGTAATCCGGAATCCACCCCCACCAAGCTTTTGAGTCTTGCTAAAGTCACCAGTGACCTTGCAGCTAACCCCTACAGCAGACTTTCCCTCTCCTGTGTCTTCAGTGAAGCAGGGAACCTGCTGGCTCCTCCCTCTCGGAATGCTGCTACCCACCCCCTTACCCTCTCATTCATCCTTTTGATCTCAGCTTACATGCTGCCTCTTCTGGGAAGCCCTCCCTGATCTACACATAAGGTCTGATTCCCATGTTACACGTTTCTTTCATAGCACTTATCAGTTTGTCTATGTGATTGTCTTCCCAACTGTCAACTCCACAGGGTCTGTTTTGCTCACTGCTGAACCCTAGTCCCGCCACACAGCAGGGATCCAACTGTGTGTTGTTGAATGAATGGTCTGGTTTTAACAAAATGCAACTGGCTGTGTGCAGAGAGAACGAACTGGGGGAGGTGAAGAAGCGGCAGCACTGAGCTGCAGGAGGTGATGGGGCCGGACCATAGTGGGCTGGGGAGCAGACCCGAGGCGTCCTGTACAGTCAGAACGGCCTGGATTACAGGTCCTGCAGGCTGGGAGAGGACAGGTCAGAGCCCCAAGGACAAGGGGACACTTCTCCAGCTGCCTGTCTCAGTGAAGGAAGTGAACCCTCAGAGGTCCTGCACTGACCACTGGCCCCGCGGAACCCAGGGCAGTCTGCCTTCTCCATCTGTGCCCCACGGGGCTGGGCGCACGTGGGGCAGGGTCAGCGATGCCCCATCTCAGGGGAGCTGTGAGAACGGCCAGCAGCTCAGAGCCTCCCCGTCGCGGTCACGTCTCATCGACATGAGATGGCTATCCTGCCTCCTACCGAGGGGAGCCCATGTCCAGTGCGTCACGCCTGGCTTTCTCCATCATCTGCGCTCCAGCGCCCCCTGTGCTGTGGGCCTGAACAACATGGCAGCAGAGGCAGCTGGGATGCCGGCAGGCGGGACCCAAGCCCAGGACGGCCCCGAGGCCAGGCCTGCCCGGCGGTGGGATGCTGGGGCAGGCGGGTGGTGAGAACTCCCTCATGACAGACACAGGACACTTGCTCGTGCAGCTGACACAAGGCGGCAGCTACATCTTCCCGCGGTGCTCCCCACCCCATCCCGCCTCACAGGGCAAGCACAGCCTCACTCACAAGAGACAGGGGGATGGACAAGATGGCACGGGGATGGGGGGCCGGGTGGGACAGGCAGGCTCGGCGGATGAAGCGCCGAGACCGGGCAGCGGTGTCCTCATGGAGTGGTTTATTACGATTCCATCTCACAAGGCAAGTGGGTGGGCGGCAGCGGCACACGGACTCCAAGCCCCTGACAGACGTCTGCCTCGGGCGCATGCAAACAGTGCAACATGGTCAAGCGCAGACACGGGGCGACCGAGGCGACATGGACACGGGACACGGGGTGGGGAACAGGGCCGGGGCGATGGGTCCCTAGAGAGGGGCCTGGTCTCCCCAACCCTCGTGGGCAGGACAGGAAAATAAGATTCGTACTTCTTGTAAAATGCCCATTTGCTGGGTACTTTCTTTCTCCTTATCTTGAAAAATAATAAAAAATAAACACACGGAAAAAAAAATCTCAAAAAAAGGAAAGGAATAAAACTCTAGGAAGGCGAGAGATGGGAGGCCAGGGGGAGCCCGACCACGGCAGGGCATCTACCCCCCAGCTCTTCAGCCTCCTCCCATCCGGGCCCGTGGGCAGGGCTCCCAAAGCCCCAGAGGTGGGTCCATGGAAGGAGGTGCCAGGCCTGGGCGGGGTCTCCGGGGGCCAGAGGGGGTGTGGGCTGGGGCAGGAAGGAGACCCGCTGGCCTCCTGCTGGGCTCAGTTCGGGTTTGGGCCCAGCGAGCGGGGCACGAGGTCCGCAGTCTCTCTGGGTTCAGTCCCCACAGGCCCGCGGCCTGGGCGAGGCCGGCAGTCACAGGTGCAGCTCGTGGGTCTTGATGTGCTCGAGCTGCTCGCGGAGCTGCAGGAAGGAGGGCCGCGTGGCGGCGTCCAGGTGCCAGCAGTTCTTCATGACCTCGTAGACGGCAGGCGGGCAGCCGTCGGGGGCGTCCATCTTGTAGCCCTTCTCCACCCGCGGGACGACGTCCTTCAGGGGCTGGGGGGTGGGGCGGCGTGAGTCGGCGCGCGGCCTGGCCCTGAGGGGGCCCCGACTCGGCACCCCCTCCGCGGCGCTCCCGGCTCTGTCTCAGAGCCAGGTCCCGGGGGCCCGTGAGGACCCCAGGGCAGGTCCGCAGCTTCCAGGCCTCAGGGGGGCGGGGCAGGGCCCAGGGAGGCCCCCACCCTGCCACCCTCCCTTCTCCAAGCCCCCGTCTCAGCCCCAGCGCCCACACTCACGATTCTTGGATAAGGCACTCGCCCAAAAGAGTAGATTTCCCAGAGAAGGATTCCGAAACTCCACACATCAGACTTGGTGGAGAATTTCTGCCATGTGGATGGGAGAAGCAGTGTCAGATCCTGGGAACTGGGGGTGGGGGTGACCAGGAACCCCATCCACCACTGCTCAGGCCCGGAGGAGAAGCCCGCCCACCTTCTCTCTTAGGGCCTCGGGGGCTGTCCACTTGACCGGCAGCTTGCCCGTGTCCTGGGTGCTCGAGGCCTCCTTGGTGAGGCCGAAGTCGCTGACCTTGGCCACGTTGTCCTCGGACACCAGCACGTTGCGGGCAGCCAGGTCCCGGTGCACGAAGTTGTTGCCCTCCAGGTATTCCATGGCCTCACAGACGTCTCTGGGGGTGAGCCGCCCACACGTCCCCTCAGACAGGGGTCCCGTAGCAGGGCAACCCCCCCACCCCCAATCAGGGTTGCTTCACTCACAGTGAGAACTTGAGGAGACAGTCTCCGCCCAGCACCGACCGACCCCGAGACCGCAGGTAATCCACTAGACTCCCCTGGGGCAGGACAGACAGACCGACAGGCCCCATAGGTTAGACTTGCCCTCCAGACCTCAGGGGGCTTGGGGCTGGGTAAACGGCGACACTCAAGGGAGGTTTGAGGAGAGGGAAGGGGCAGGGGAAAGGTCAGGACATCACTTCTGAAAGAATATCAGGTCCTACACGCTGGACACTGCACTCAGCAATTTTCATGCACTGTCTCTTAATTCTCATAAACCTCTGAGGTAAACTGTTACTACCTCCCTTCACTGATGAGGACCTGAGGTTTGGCGACGTGACACAACGTTTCCAAGGTCACCTGCAATGGTCATTCCATTGGTCACCTCCAATGAATAAATGATGAGCCAGGACAAAAGCCAAGCCCCAGTGACTTCAAAGCTCAGTTGGAGAGCAGGGACTGAGGGAGCAGGGGCCCAGGGGTATGGCGGGGGGCTTGGGGCAGGCACACACCTTGGCCATGTACTCGGTAACGATGTACAGCCCGCCCTTCTCCTCTACGATCACGCCCAGAAGCTGTACCAGGTTGCTATGCCGGAGTTGCCTGGGGTGGGACAGGGTGGTCAGAGCCTGCTAAGCCTCCCCATCAGCTCCCGGCTCCGGGGCGACCTCCCCACCCACCCTCTGCCCCAACTCACGTCATGACAGAGGCTTCAGCCAGGAAGGCCTGTGCAGTGGCATCGTTCTTAATGCACTTGACAGCAACTTTGTTCCCTCGGTAGTCACCCAGCATCACGTCTGGGGGAAGACAGCTGGGGCTTGTTCCCTGGACTCCCCACAGTCACCAGCCCCTCCCAGGGCTCCCACCCTCTCTGGCTCACCTCCAAACTCCCCCTTCCCTATGGTCTGCAGCAGCTTCAGGTCCTTCATGTTCAGCGCCCAGCCGCCTGGGTAGGAGGTGACGGGGGCAGGAGGCGGTTGTCAGGGACGGGGGAGTTAAGTCAGAGCGGGGGTCGCAGCAGAAGCAGGCTGGACTATGACATGTGGGTTCCCTGGAGGTCTCCAGAGCCTCCGGGATGGGGGTTGTGCCGGGAAGCCTGGGCTGGGGAGGAGGCGGGTGGGTAACAGAGGGGCGGGGGTGGCACTCACTGCGGAAGAACTCATCCTGGGCGGCCACAGTGCCCTCCATGACCTTTGGCTTGATGAGGCGAGTACAGAGTCCATCTGCATCTGAGGTGTAGTGCTGCAGGGCGCAGGGCAGCCCATCAGGACCCGCCCCTGTGCACCACCAGTGGCTCCCCTGCACCACCCTGATCTGACCACCAGAGGGCAGCAGAGGCCAGTCCCACCCAGTCAAGAGTTGCTTTGGGTAGGGAGGGTGCCCGCCCCATTTCTAGTAGGGTTAGGGAGGCCCAGACACACAGCCTGTCTCCCACGCCACCCTACACCTCAGGTGCTGGACGGACACCAGCTGTTGCTATCACTTGGCCTCACCAGCAGCCCTGACTCAGTGTAATACCAGCCTCTAGCCAGGTGTGCAGAGGATCCCTGCCCCAAGTCAGGCCAGCGGGGGGACAGTGCTGAGGGTGGGTGCAGGAGGCATCTGAAGGCTGCCTGGGGCAGAGCTGGCCTTGGGAACTGCCGGAGACAGGGACCACCAAGGTGGAGCTCGAGGGGACATGCTTATACACACATGGTTGGGCACAGTTGAGTGGCTGAAAGGAAGCTAGCTCCGGGATCAGAAGACTCAGATCTAGTCCTGGCACCTCCAATTCACAGCAGTGTGACCTGCAGCAGGCCCCTTAACTGCTCTGAACCTTTGTTTCCTGGCCTACATACTGGGTTGCCATCTCCATGTGGAGACACTGTGGAGTCAGAGGTCAACCCTGGCACACAACAGGGGCTCTACGGAGGCAGGGGAAAGGCAGGCTCGCCGAGGCCGCGGGACCTGCCCAAGGTTACCCCGCCAGTGGTGGTGGGGCTGCAGCCGGAACCCAGCCGGCCCAGGGGCCCTGCTCACCTCCACCAGCTGCATGAGGTTCTCAAAGTAGACCTCTTCATCGATGCTGAGCTTGCTGGCGTGGTACATGATACGGTAGTGCTCCACCTTGCCGTCACAGCTCACGCACAGCGTGTAGTCCCCGGGGTAGTTGGTGCTCTCCCGCACCAGGAACAGACCCGTCTCTGGTGGGCACAGGAGCCGCTCTGCCTGCTCCCGCGTGATCTTGCCGTGGAACCAGCTGCAGGGAGGCCAGGCCTGGGGTCGTGGCAGCCCAAGGGCAGTGCCGGGCTCCACTTCCCAAAGGCCCTCCCTCTGGCTGGCGCCTCCCCAGGGTTCGTAGCTTGGACAGGCGCTGAGGCCCTCATCCTCTGCTTTCCGCCCTTCATCTCCTCTGAGGTCCGCACCCACGCCCTTCTTGTCTCGAGAGGTCCGCACCCACACCCTTCTTGTCTCAAGAGGCCCTCACGGACATCCTAGCTCTTACTCCTGCCTCCCTGCTTTCCTGACTCTCTTCCAGGGGACTCAGGGCTCCCGTCCTCCTCCGTCCCAGACTGGAGGACCGCTCCTCGGAGGTACTCACGGCATGAGGCTGAGCTTGGTGCCTGCCTTCACACCCTCCCGCTTCTGGACATAGTTGGCTGGGATGATGCCCTCACGGCCCACCTTGTTCTTGGCTTTGTACCAGTTGGGGTCCTGGGGAGAGGGGAGCCCAGACACTTCTCAGGCTCACCCACCCCTGCAGAGGAGCCAAAACCCAGAGGTGGGTGGTGGGCGGGGGTGTGAGGTCCCTGGTTACCTTGGTGACAGCCACAATGGTGAGCACGTCTCCTTTGCAGAAAGGAAGGTCTTGCTCAGCAGTGCCGTGAAAGTTGTACTTGGCAATACATTCTGTACCGGATGGCCAGGCGGCCTGCAGGGCAGGCGACAGGTGGGCGGTTGCAGCCCAGGGCAACCCCCACCCACCTGCCTGCACGCCTGCAAGGTCACAGGCTCTCGCCTAGCCTCCATGAGCCTGGGTGAGGTGCCCCTCCTCCAAAGAGTGCTGGGTGCCTGCCAGCTGAGTTTCACCCCCTGGGCTCCCATCTTGAGTGCCTCCATCTGAATTCTACTTTACTGAGGGCCAGGGCTGGGGAGAAGGGGAGCGCATCGACCCACACTCTCACTCCCTCTCCTCTCAGCACCCTATGGTGGCGTGGGGACCCCCACCACGCCAGACCCCCATCCCTGTAGTACCTGAATTGCCGACATCTTCTCAGAAGATCTGGCGTCCCCGTGTCACAGGAAGGCCCACCTGTCACTTGGTACCATGAGAGCTGCGGGGAGAAGAGGGGACTGAGGGGAAGCTGAGATCCTGCTCCCTCCCCATAGCGATGTGAACAGATGCCAGAGGCTTCTGAGCTGGGGTCTGGGGCAAGGGCTGCCCTTTCCAGTCTGGGGGCACTGGGCAGGGGAGGAGGGCTGAGGACCCCCAATGCCGAGCCCACTGTGGCCTTGCAGCCCACAGAATGACCGACAGAGCCACAGATCATCACCGGTGAGCAGCACCTGCCCTACCAGCCCCACGGCGGGATGTTAGCTACATGGTCTGGGAGGGACCACTGTGGGTGTTCACTGAGGACGGCTGTGAGACAAAGGTGCTTGGGATTTGGGGGAAGTCACTAGTCCTCTGCTGGTCTCTTAGTTCTGTCACCTATAAAAACTAGCCCAGGCAGTATCTCTGAGGTCAAATGTAAGCCAGCTCCATGGCCTGGCCACCTCACTTCCCGCACACACCCGAGAGATGACAGGGCAGGTGCTGCTGAGACAGGCCCGGGAGAGTGCGCGGTAGCCGGGTCTGAAAAGTGCACACTGGGGACCGCCCAGATGCTCACCGGGAGTGAGACAGATAAGCTGGGTATGCTCGCAGAACACCGACAGCAGCACACGTGAATGAACTACCACCATGAACCAACAATGACACGTCTCTAGGCGTCATGCTAACCAAGACGCCAGGCAGGAAGCACACACGCCATGTGATCCCACTTGTATCAGGTTTAGAATCGGGGGATTCCCAGTGCAGGATGGAGCCCTCGGAGGAGGCAGCTAGCTAACTGGAAGGGGGCAAGTTCAACTCTGGCAACTCAGCGAGTTGTACCCTGTGATGGGTGTACTTTCTGGTGTACACGCTGACTTCAATACAGTGGACTCCACCAAGAAAGCTACCCCAGACAACCTGATGCCCCAGAGCAGCAAATCAGCCTCGTCCTGCACACATACTCTCTGCGGCCCCAGCTCAGCACACCCTCTACAACCATCATTTTCCTACACACAGCCCAGAGCCGCTGTGGACCTGTCTCAGGAAGCAAAGGGATGGGACTACTGTTCTTTGCTGACAGATGAGGAATCTGAGGCTTAGACAGGGCCAGTGACTCTCCCATGCCTATGGTATGCCAGAAGAGAAACTCTACCACGTGCCTTGTTCCCAGGCTCATTCATATGATGGACAAGGTCTGGGGCCTGGCTGACATGCACAAGCAGTGGAAGACAACATTTAAATGCAAGTGCCTCGGGGTGTGAAAGGAGTGAGGACTGTAGCGCTTAGGTGGGCTTCCTGGAGGAGGGAGTGCTGGAGCTGAGCCTGGAAGGTTGCAGGGCTTGGGAAGGCAGGGGCACTCTGGCTGGAAGCCCATGCTGAGGGAGGGTGGGCAACAGATCCTATGGTCTGAGCGCCCCGTCATCCACTGCAGAGGACGGTGAGTACTGGGCTCACGGGAGGACACAGACCCTACAGGGATGTGGGGCTTCAAATGCCAGGGGAGGAGGCAAGCTTGGCTTCCGAGGGCCATGGGACCTGGGGCCTGAGCAGGGGGGGCATGTGGTCTGGGCAACTAGAAGGAGCCGGGGGGAACCACCACCACTGCTTCCAGGCCCCGCTCCTAGAGCTAGGGTCAGGCAGAGCGGGCTCTGACAGTACACAACAGGCAAGACACTCAACCCTTCTGATCCTCCGATCTCACACTCTGAAGGCGGGACAGGGACACCCAGCAAGCAGGCTATGGAGGGAGTGGAATGAGCCCCCAGACTTGGAAGTGTCTAGCATCAACCCCCTGCCCCTGGGGATGAAGGGCTTCCCTTCCTCCTGGAACACACAGTGCTTCCTGTCCCAAGGCCAGTGCGGCAGCCTCTGCCATCTGGACAGGGAGACGGGATCCCCCTAGACACACACACACTGACCCGACGGAGCCACCATGAGTACAGGAAGCAAATTCCAGCTCCCGAGAACCACCTGTGGGAGCCACGAGCTCCTCTTGCCCCCATTTCATAGAAATGGAAACCGAGGCTCAGGAGGTTGCAACAACTTGCCCTAAGGCACACCACTAGTTAGGGGTGATGGTCTGGAACTTGAATAGGGGTCGCTCTGTGGTTGGCTGGGTCCTCAACCTGCAAGCCCTTCTGCAGAGGGGCTCTGCCAGCTCTCTGCACCCCCACGTCTCCCCCTCCCTCCACGGAGGGCGGAGGCTGAGGCACCGTTAGTCACCCTCTCAGCTGTCAGTTTGCAAACACTCTCTCCCCGGCCTGCAGCTGCCGCTGCCACCTCCCCACCGACTTGAGGATAATAATAAAAATAATAATAGGCCATGTTGGCTGAGCACTTACTCCTTGCCAGGCTGTCCATGGCACATTATGGCTCATCAAATCCTCCAATAACTAAGAGAGAGGCTATTGTTATTCCCATTTTACAGGTGAGGATGCCGAGCTAGGCCAAGAGGCAAGTGGCCTTACCTGAGGCTACACCTCCAGTGAGCATCCGGCCTCACACAGGTGTCAGAGGCCTGAGCCAGCAGGCCATCCCACCCCCACGCCTGGTGCCTCTGCCTAATGTGCCCGCATATGTTTACAGGACTGCCGGCAGGCTGGGCCCACCCTGGCCTGGAGAAGAGAGTGCAAGGGAAGAGGGAGAAGTGAGCAGTGCTCAGGGGAGGGGAGAGCCCAGAGTCAGGGGGGATTCCTCGAGGGTCTGGGTTTGGAGAGGACAGATCAGAAAAGGAGAGGTATGAGCTAGTCTTCCCCTTGCTCTACTGGCTACAGCTTCAGGACTCAGTTTTCCCATCTGTACAATGGACTGGTGACAGTCTTGCAGCTTCCAGGGCTGCTCTGAAGCCTGCTTTCTGCACACAGAAATCCTGCTGGCGGGAGCTGCAGATACTTTCTGATGGCTCCTCCCTGGCGAAGTCATGAGGCCAGGACGACCCTGTCCTTAGGGCCCTGAGGGTCCATATGGGCTATCCCCCTCCAGGTCAGAGGGGCCCTGCGGGGGTTATTCAAACCTTGTTTCAGGTTGCTTTGTGGAAGAAGTGCAGGAACAGCATCCTGGGAGTCATGGGCTCTCAGTCTGGTTCCTGCTCTGTCACCAACTTGCTGTGTGACCTTGGGGAAGTCCCTTGAGCTTTCTGATACTCACTAGCTCTCCAGCACATGAGCCAGATCCCTTTATCACCTACAGCTCCTAGGACTCTGCCTCCCTGTCTCGACATTCCCTCTCCACCCCTCCCCATTCTTTACCCAAGGAGCTTCCACTCAACATCTGGGGTTACACAGGTGCCTAAAAAAAATGTAGTAGGACAGTCCCTGCAGCACTGTTTGGTGTAGCAAGAGGCTGGGAGACAAATTTTATGTCCATTAATAAGGAACCAAGTAAATAAAACGACCAGGTATCCCCAAAAGGGAAAAGGGGCAGCTTGGATGGGGCCAAGACGGACCTCAAGGTGTTGAAACAGAAACCTCGCCATGACAGACTAAGCAGAAATGGCAAATAACCAGCTCAAGTCATGAAGGACATGTTGCTAGGGGTACAGGACAGTGACATGGCATTTGAGGACCACGCTCCAGATTAACCAGAGAGAACAGCACTTGCCCCACAGCGAGATGTGGTCGACGCCTTGTTCACCAAGTGATCGAATTAAGCAGCACCAATGACGAGAGGGGCATACAGAGTGCCTCCTGCCCAGAGGAGGGCACAACATCCTCTGTGCCACGGGCGCAGAGCGGCTGAACCCGGCTCCACTCAGGGAGCCCAAAGACCCGGCCCGGCTTGAGGCAAGTCAAAGACGAAACAAACAAGCGCAGGCTAGGGAATGTTCTGGATTAGGCAGGACAGTAAAGAAACACGACACAACAACAAAATGGTAATTATGGGAGGTGAGGGATGCGTTAGGCGACCTTACTGTGGTAATCGTGTCATAATATGCATGTGTATCAAATCCTCACACTGCACACTACTTAAATCCACATACACTAAGTAGCAATTATATCTCAATAAAGCTGAAAAAGAAAGAAAAGACACCCGACAGCAAGGCTCAATGAGTGATTCTGAATCAGATTCTGGATCAGAGGAAAAAAAATAGCTATAAAGTTCACTTGGGGACAACCTCGAAAAATGAAAACGTTAGATAATACGATGGAATTAATGTTAATTTTCTTAACTGTGTGATCATGGTACTGTGATTATATAATAGATCTGTGCTAAAGTACTTAGAAGAGGAAGGTATGATGCCTGCAAACTCACACTCACATCGGCAAAAAAAAAAGTATACACATATGTCTAGTACACAAAAGAAGAGATAAAGCAAATGTGGCAAAATGTTAAAAACCGGTGAATCTGGGTAAAGTATATATGTTATTTATATGTGTGTGCTAAGTCACTTCAGTTGTGTCTGATTCTCTGCGACCCCATGAACTGTAGCCTGCCAGGCTCCTTTATCCATGGGATTCTCCAGGGAAGAAAACTGGAGTGGGTTGCCACACCCTCCAGGGGATCTTCCCTACCCAGGGACTGAACCCGGGTCTCCTGCACTGCAGGCAGAGTCTTTTTCCCCCTGAGCCACCAGGGAAGTCCATATATGGGTATTTATTATACTATTATTTCAGCTTTTTGGTAGGTCTGAAAAACTCAAAGACTGGGGAAAAAAAAAAAAGCAAGGTGCAGAATATCATCCATGGTATATTACAATTCTTGTTTTTCCAAAGGACATACTATTCATCTCCAACCTCAGAAATGCAGATTATCACTAAAAGACAAAAGAAGCTGATAACAGAGGTTATCTATCTCTGGGAGGGGGAAGAAGGAGTGAGGATCAAGTTCAGGGCAACTTCCTTTTCATTGTATATCTGCTGTTCTGTTCTTTAAATTGTTTTTTTTAACAACATGTATCTATTGAGTGAGTGAAAGGCGCTCAGTCTGTCCTGTCTGACTCTTTGCAACCCCGTGGATACACAGCCCACAGAATTCTCCAGGCCAGAATACTGGAGTGGGTAGCCTTTCCCTTCTCCAGGG